GTCATTGATACTGTACAAAAATTGAAAGCTTCTTCTGAGGCCTTGAATGATATAACCTTGATCAAACGCCTTCTAAACAAGAATCCTATGGCGCTTTTTGAAATCTTAGTTGAAGGAGCATGCTCTATTGTACCTCAAATGTTAAACCAAGGGCTGGAGCTGCGGGAAGAAGGCAAGGAACATGGGAATTTTATTATCGCTTTACCAATAATAAACCCTAAAGACCAGATCTCGAATACTAGAGACAACCCAACAAACAGGAAAACAGAGACCACTGACAACATTTCTTGAACGAAAAACATTATTTCTAACATTATATCTATATCCTAGTGTCGAGAATTCAGTTGACATGGATTTTGAAACAACCAGTCGCGCGAAAGTGGCGCAATCACTAAAGGTACCTAATGACCGAGATAGAGGTAGGACAGCTGATCATCTTCTTTATCTAGAATTTAATTGCAATTTTGCACATAGAACGACATTGTTGTACGTGGAACGTGGCTTGCTCTTGAAGGTCGTCGTAGACTTGTTTATTGATCGTCAATTAATGTGTACTCTGGTCTGTGGTTCCATAAGTACTTCAATAACAGGGAGTGTCTGGTCCCTGCAGTTTTTTATATCTTACAACTCAACGAGATGATTATAGCGGTGTTCAGTGTTCAAATTAAGCTCTCCAAAATATATTTTATGCTTAACATTTGTGGTAGAATTTTCGCTCCGGCTTAAGCTGTTCTCAACTTGGCAATTGCTCTCAAGGTCAATGTGTTGGAAGTACATATTCTACCTTTCATAATTCAGTATTTTTGTTGTCTATATGTGACTTCCTGTAAAATGGATTTATCAGTAGTCGTACAATATTCATGTTGACTTCAGCAGATATGATGGATAGAGTATTTGAAAAATTAAAGTACAAGCTTGGTTTTTGATCAGAAATATCTTACAATATATCATTGGATGGACATGAACGAAACTCTCATTACTGCGAGACATTTTCATTTTGATAACTGGAACAAATCGACAAATAACAAAGGAACGCGAAATTGTTGGTGTATGTTTCTCCGTTTACAGATGAGCTACGGAAGTTGAACTTACCTTGACCAAAATTAACAGTACTCAGTTGTCCAGATAGGAGACATACGCTCGTGACACAAATCGTCATGGAATCACTGTTACATGAGTGTTTCTGGGATATACTTTATCTGACATGCCACGACTGAGGGGGAGAGAAACACGCATGGAAGCGGGTGAAATTTGGCCGGCCGTAACCAGGGCGTTTCATGTACCCAAAGCACCATTACGAGACAGTGTGATCGTAACTGTCACCAAGGGACAACACGTGGATTTCCCAGAACCGGTCGAAACCTTCTGACCACCACATTTTTCAAGCCCAGGACACAACATCTTGCTGCAAAGGACCACCACGACAAGATCAACATCATCCGCCATTGTACCCGAGGCAGGTCTTCGAGTCAGGCCCGTCTCATGTTGATGGACCAACATCGCCGTCAGTGGTGTTGTGTACACAGAGTGTGGCCTCACCTGCAATGGAGAAATGTGACGTTCTGACGTGACCTGCAATGGGATGTCCTCAGGTTTGTGGTGAAGCGGTAGCGAACCAAAAGATCTGATTTTAATTAGCTGGATTGACACGATACTGACTGCAGATGACCTTGGCCTTTGTTTTTGGACAAAGTGAAGTGTCAACTCTAGTAGAGTGTGTCATATGTGAAAATTCAGTCGCTTTGACCTATTAAATAAATCCATCATATGTCAGTAGAATTCATTTGCATTTCCTATTTTCGGAGAGTACATCGCGCATCGTTTGGTTGATTAGCCAAGGTTTATTTTACGTGGGCTTCTCTTACCTACACAACGGCAAGTGTTGCACTCATCCTTTCTCAACACATCCTTGGCTTCTCAATGGCGACTGGGCACTGGTGGCCCAGTCGTCTGAGGCGCCGCGATTCGCTGTGCAGAGCTGCGTCCCTTGGGCACTCCAGAAACCTATGGTTGTGGGTGTGAATCCAGGTTCGCCCCGATTATGATTCTAGGTTTGTCAGCACCATACCCGTGCTCATGGGTTTCACCGAAGTGGTAAACGTCTGAGACCTGCATCACTTCGGGCTTTCCTCCCACGACAAGCTGACACACCGCGATATAACTGGAATACTGTTAAAAGCGGCGTTAAACCCAACTCACTCACTCTCAATGGCAGAATTTCCCTATAGAAATCCGTTGGGGTAATCACACAGGGTCCACATAATGGACGTGCCACTATGAACAGTAGAGGTCCTGTGGGTTGGTCGTGAACAAAAACGCAAATGTGGGGAGGGTCAGGAAATTAATGGCATGAAAACATAAACATGAATTTATTAAGTAGCATGATGTGACATATCACTCATGTGATTCTTCTCATAACTGAAGGTGGTCGTGAAAAATGTACATCCTTGGATGCAGTAGCTCTTATATTCAGCTTCATATTTAATATTTAATGTAATGACATTTTTCATGAGACAACCATAAGAGAAATTGATCTTACAAAAAGCAATCCTATACTTTCCATAAGGCTAAGTGAATTCAAAGTCTGTGTAAAGGTCATTGTTATTCTATCCTAGTGTGTGTAACTGTACACATGTGCTGTCTCCAGATTTTTAATCGATCGCAGATTACAGGGAGTTATTAATCATTTATTTAATCTTATTTTCAACCTATGTTTACCATTAATAGTGAACATTTGTCTGTGAATGTAGAAGGAAACTGGTATAGCTCTGTTGGCCATTGGTTGAGGGAATGTAAAGATTTACATAATGCTTTAACGTATTGTTTGGTTTTGTCGCTCATGATAATTCTCTAATAAAATATGCACGCTTTTCCGAATCACGTCATGTCGCTTCTTAACCTGCGTATTATTTTACTGTCACTTTTATTTTCTAAGTTCCTTCAATGGTTCCTTTTCCTGTCGTGTCGCTGTTCTTATACTCTTGTCATTGCTTTTCGTATGTTCTCGCTTCCGTAAAAAAAAAAACTCTTGCCATGCCATGTCATAATTATTATCGTTTTACACTTCAATGTTATGTTATTCAATCAATTCATAAGCTTGTTTTACCATGTCATGGCGTTATTTGTTTTTTTCCTTGTCTCATCTATCATTTCTCTGTTTCTTCTCTTGTCGGGGCGGTCGGGTAGCCTAGTGGTTATATAATTAAAGCGTTCGCTCGTCACACCGAAGACCCGGGTTCGATTCCCGACATGGGTACAATGTGTGAAGCCCATTTCTGGTGTCCTCCGCCGTGATATTGGTGGAATATTGCTAAAAGCGGCGTAAAACCATACTCACTCATTCTCTCTTCTCTTGTCACGTGCCTTATGTCACGTGCGTTATTTTCCTGTTCCTTCATTTTCTCAATGTCACGTTTTCGTCAGTACATAACATTAGTTACAGCCATAATAACAGAACCTCTCCTTTACGTAGAGGGGAATGTCCGAGTAACTCTCCATTCCTTAAAAATAATGGAGCAGAGGCCCATTATTTTTAAGGAATGGAGAGTTACAAGGCTATTCCCCTACTTAAAACTCATCCCTACTTTTACACTTTGACAAAATATTCTGTAGGTGAAAATATTTGAAAAATTCAAATGCTGCTTCAAGATAATGTACAGTTGACAAGCAACTCTCCATTCCTGAAAAATAATGGAGCGTTCAAACAATAGAATGACGTCACAGATGTGTTTTAATAGAACAGAAGACACGCAATAGTTCGACAGTATTTATTTGGAAACATATTTGAATTCTCTTGGAGACATATGTATACAAGTAAATACTTCATTGAAAAATATAGACATTCTCTTACCATATCTGTCAGTGCGTTTAAAGGGGTTTGTAGAATTATCTGTAACGTCAAGCGGTCTTCAGGATGAGCCAACTCAACTTCGCAATGCCATTTGTCAGAACGAGGATATATTATATCAAGGTATAATGGATACATATGATGAATAAATAAATGCGACAAAAAACATTTCCATATTCCTAAGAGATCTCTACAAAAAGCAAAGTCAGACTATTTCATTCGAAATTGAGAAGTAAACGGTTATCCTAATTTAAAAAGAGGCATTTTCTCATAGGGCTAAAATTGGCATTGATTAAAATGTCAAAGTCATAAATAGTATATTTTTTTGCATGTATATCACGTGTAAAATGTTACAACCTTGAAGCTATATTCTACACTTACGAATTGATCCTTACACACGGGGGACCTCCTCCGTGGTCTAGTGGTTAAGCGTCTGCCCGAAGAGCGAGGTTCGATCCCCGGCCGCGTCAGACCGAAAGACGTTAAAATATGGTACTTGTTGTTACCCTACCTTGCGCTCGGCATTAAGGTGCTAAGACAAAGACTGGTCGGCTCAGAGTCTGTATACTGTGTCTGAGTTAGGTATTTATGTTAAACTGCGGCATGGTGTCTCAGTGGGATAGCACTATGGAATAATAAAAATGCCAACATTATTGTGAACATGAATTATACATGACACTCTTTTTATAGATAATAACTTCATGTATTGTTTGTAACGACGTTTCAGAATTACTTCTTGCCCATTCATCAGGTGACTACTGAAATATAATAAATATTGTCAATGCTAGAGAATAACCAAACCAGATTTTCTGCCGAAACAGATTTCTCCTTGCGTAAAGGGCAAAATAGCTGTGGTAATTATATAAATGGAGCACTAAAAATCAGTCATGAGACCAGGTGTTCGCGAAAACACATGTCACATAAAAAACGTATCATGTATTCATGTTCTTCCAACTTCTAACAGCCCATTAAAGACTGTATTACGTAGAGGGGAATGTCCGAGTAACTCTCCATTCCTTAAATATAATGGAGCAGAGGCCTCGCAGGGGCCGAGGCCCATTATTTTTAAGGAATGGAGAGTTACGAGGATATTCCCCTACTTAAAACTCATCCCTACTTTTACACTTTGACAAAATATTCTGTAGTTGAAAATATTTGAAAAATTCAAATGCTGCTACAAGATAATGTACAGTTGACAAGCAACTCTCCATTCCTGAAAAATAATGGAGCGTTCAAACAATAGAATGACGTCACAGATGTGTTTTAAGAAAACGTTATGACCGTTAGGCTCGTATTGTCCTTTGTCACAAACTCCATTCATACCTGTCTGACTGTTTGATGAACTAGGAGTAATTAATGGTTGTATCGCTTATTTCTCTCTTTATATTCATCGGCATTAACTGTATTCAGGTTTCCATCCTATGCACAATACGAAAAAGCCTTTGATTTCAATTTACCGTTTAATCCTTATAATCAAAGCAAAACTTAGACATTACAGTGTTTCAATTAATTATATATTTAAAAGGATTTAGTTTCACTGAAGCTTACAAGAACGATGGCCAATCGATTTGTTCCTCGGAAGTAGGAAATCTAAAACCATTAATTTCAACTTTCATCTCATACTCAGCCCTCTCAATACAAAGTGCCTTCATGTGTATTCATATATATATTATCTTTTCATTTGTTTTACAGGCAAGGATTTAAAAGGAAAAGAGTTAATTGAATATTCTCTGGAACGGATCAAAAGATATCAAACGACTTGTCTGTACTTTGTGCCTGTTTGATTTTTCAGACGCATGTCATTGTGATTTAATCAACAGAAAAGAAGAGCCACAAACATTGTGCAGAGAATTAGTAATTGGACACCACAATAGCCGCTAGCAGTGTCCCCTTCATTTGAATATTCTGCTCATACTTAAATCACAAAATGAATATAAGAACTATTATATAAGTTCGACAAAGCTATGAATATGTTTACAGATACAAAAACAATACTGATGATAATGTTTGATCTACTTTTCAACAGATAATCGCTACCTGCTTGATTTAAAGCATTATTCCTAAAGTATGTTTCAGCATTTGAAAATATTCACAGCTGGCTCAAATGAGTTGTAAATGGCTTCAAGGAATGGTGAACCATACCAATACCACCTATTTTCACAATTATAATTCGAGTTGGACTCTTCGAATCATGAAACTTCATTCATTATTTAGACTTCTTCTTAAGTATACATCAGGAAAAGGTTAGTGGCCCTATTATATATTTCAAAATAGCACTATGAGCATTGTGTTTTATAACCGTATCCTGTATTATAATTCAGACGAAATTCTAAGTTGTATTACAAATTGACATATTTATTATGACATCTTCACTATCACAGTTTCTGTTCTGGAGAAACGTATCTGCTTTTGTACCTGATACATGTCCAGGATTGTTTAATTAAACATGGACGGAATATTCCTTTTCCCAAATTACCCCACGCACTGAACATATCTGGTGTTATACTGATCGATGTGTTTCCGGAGAGTGTTACAAATATAAATGCAGATAATTAGGACATTAAAGCAAACAAGAAAGCATCCAAAACAAAGAATACATGTTGGGAAGGGTCTTCTCCTCATCGATGTGTTTGACTTGCTTTCAGGACAGTGTAACAATTCAAATATAAATTGGACAAGCAAACAAACAAATAGGAAACAAATTTCAACTTCAAAAGCAAAGAATATATATTGGGTAGGGTATTCTTCTCCGGATCGAGGTGTTTGGCTTGCTTTCATTAATGTATAACAATTCAAATATAAATGCAAACACTTAGGACAAGCAAACAGGAAACGATTTCCAAAGTCCAGTGCAAAGAATACAATAAAGAGTGCAGCAGCACATAAGATACGGTAATTCTGCAATATGGTGGTATTTGTAAACAATTCATAAAGAGGAGATACACTTGTTATAACCACCACGACAAACAGTATTTGAGCGCATAAAATTTTGGAATACTGATACTGAGCAAATAGTATAATCTATATTTAAAAATCGATGCAATCTAAGATAATGAAAACAAACACTAAAGTATCAGTTTTTTTCCTAAATTAAACAAGACTACCACTTCTTTTCTGGATCTTTCATCAAAGGCAATTACAAAGGCAAACAAATTAGACTACTGTTCGTGCCGTCACGAATTGTTGAAAGGAGTGAACAATGTAGGCAAATCACTTCCGAGACTTTTTTCCAAGAATTCATTGATCACGACGAGATGCACTGATTAGTATTCATCAACTGCACCTGTCGGTGTCCATCCAGTACAGATCACCATAAACCATTACTCACAGTTCATTAATGTCCTGCGTTTGTGAGTGCTTCTGCAGTCTGCCAGAAGTGACTGTGTAATTTTGCGGGCTTTCGGAATCTTTTAAGTGATCAAAGTTGCTACAAAATTCGAACGATCTACATTCAGTTTCCACTCAAATTTTGTAATTTTATCGAATTATTCTTTGTAGCTTGATATACAAAAAATGTTTCTCCATCTTTGCAATACCAATGTAATTTTCTCATTGTCGTTCTACCAATAAGTAAATAAATGGTTTTAATTATTAAAATACATAATAAACAAATATATATCCTCTGTGTGTGTGATAAATATATAAAGTATCTTTTAAAGTATCTTTTGAAGATATGAATACGTGGCAGTAGAAAAATGATGACAAATAAAACATTCACCATTACACTGAAACAAAGACGTTCGTGAAGATATTGATACATAAGCATACATGATGCATATACTTGAGCAAAAGACGGACAGGTATATACTGTGTAAATGTATGTGATAAATGCACAATGACATTACTTGTGTTTCCATTCACTCTCGACAATGATCAATGGCGCCTTGGATGGCACACAAAACACGTGTGTCGTCATTGTCACAAGAATGAAATCAATCCAATACTCATCCACCGTATCACACAAAACCGTTGAAATAATTAGCTCTCCATCCGGAGACGGGTGGCCACAATGAGCCGTGCCAAAAATGTTTAATCAAAGCTTTAAATGCCGGTTCACACTCATTATGTTTCTTTGTCAGCACTAAACCCGTGCTCATGGTTTTTTTTCAAAGTAGTAAGCATCTTTGACCTGCATCACTTCAGGCTCTCTTCTTTCATGATGTAGCTGAAATTAAGCGGCCTTCAACCCAACTCACACACTCCATCCGGAGAGAGGTAAATGGTGATCCAGTGAAATGAATACCAGCGTCGAATGAAGCTATTGTGTCACGTGGTTAAGTTGTAATATGTCCAGTAAAAGGCGTTGAACAACAAAAACGCCAGAGGAAAGCCATGGCGTGAGATTTTATCAAGCTTTACTCCAAGATCTGTAGTTCCATCAAGTTTTAAGGAGATGACGGATTTTGACCTTGACCTCGATGCAGGGGTACGACCCGTCGTGAACATCTCGTCATTATTAAATGCATTGTTGAACACACCAGACGTGGTACTCTGAAGATAGAAATTCCTTGAGTATACATTTGGTTGTCAATATTTCCTACAGTACATTCTGTGTCAAGATCAGTCCCTATATACATAGGCACGGTTTGCGTGATTATAACGTGGGGTTTGCGTATTAATAATCTTCTTAACCAGGAGTTATTGGATCCAACGTTCACGTACACAGGGAATAATAATTACATGTTGACACATATCTTTTGTTCAATGAGATAATAACAACACTGATTCCAAATCATTAGGCAATCAATGTAGCCGTAGTTTCTGGACATTCTGACCATTAGACGTATTGACAGGTAACTCCTATTATGCTAAAATAATTCTTGTGTTTCCCGTCCGCATCGGTTTCATTGTCAAACCACCTCGACGGGGTTTTTATCGTTTTCTGGAGTTTCACCAAAGACAGGCAACTGCTTTCCGAAAACCGAAAGTACAATCAGCATATGATACACGATGTGCAGGGTGTGAGAAGAGTATAAGGGCTTTGGAGTTTGTCCATTGCAGTTTCGACCTCACTTTTTCTTAGCCTATATATAAATTGTTGAGAAAACGGTACCTTAATACCGGAGAAAACAACGTCATGCAAATGAACTTGTAAGAAGAAGTCGACTTGTGGCGTCATTTTAGACCAAACCAAATACCAGAACATACTATTTTTTTCTGGCCTCAGAACTATATAGAAGAATGTGTTTTGAAACATATAGAAACACGTTGAAGATGCTGTTCGTTGAAGAAGTAGATCGATGCACGTTTTAAGATTTGTGGCATGTTTACTGAAATGTATATATCCTTCAATGTATATTTAGGAATTGCACCAAGTTCAGCGTCAAGTTGTACGCATATACATGTCCAGACGTTGAAATCTTTCCTCACGCTAATTGACACATGTCCATGTGCCTTGATTAAGTACATTTACAAGTGGTCGTTTCATTAAGGTACAAGAAACTGTAGAGTAACTAGTTCGTGAGGTACAATTTGACGTCACATTGACAGTATTTCAGCGACATAGACGAGGTAGATATTACCTTAGATATTAAGTCATTACGTTAATCTCATGGTGAGATGTCTTTCTTGAATTAAAATCTTTTGATCGTCTCTGAAAATTACGATTTTGGCCTTATTAAAAAATATAAATTTCACTTCATGTGTGGCACTGTAGATTGACCTTAGACTTCACGACGTGAATAAATAATAAAAACACATACCCCGTTCTCTTTTGTTGTGTCTTTATGCTTTATGCTCATATTCTGTTTGCGGTGTCTGCGTGCGAGGACAGTAACAACGGCATACTCCATATACGCAGCAAAGACGAAGATAAGGCAAGCGGACATCCACACATCGATGGACTTGACGTATGGAACCCTGGGTAGTTGTGTCATAGCTCCGGAGCTCTGCGTGGTGATGGTCAGCACTGTAAGGAGCCCGACGGAGATGCGGGCAGGGATTGCTTGATGGTCAATCCAGAAAGAGATCCAGGACAGACTGACGATGAGGATGCTGGGAATGTAGGTCTGGGTGAGGTAGAAGCCGATCTGACGTTTCAGAATCAGTTTGGCGTACAGGCAAGGGAATGTACCTGGATAGAAAAATACACACATGTTATCATTTCGGGTTTTGCTTAAATACACGTTTCTCATCAGAAGCTCAAAATGACCGGGACACCTGGCTTTTTTTCTCAGAAGGTAAATCTAACCGACAACAACCATGGATAACAGAAGGAAGGATAACTCTCTTAAAACCAAGACAATCATGGCATTCGTAAAACTAGTAATAAAACCGGATTTATCACGGAACAGGACCTAATATTATTGTTCGCATTGAAAACAATCGGTCGATTGGCATGGTATAAATTGCCCGCAAGTCGATGAGATCGCATTTTGTGATTTAACAAATATCATGGAACTTTTCGGTGTCAGCTTGACAGAGAAATAGACACCTATCATTATTCGTCACGTATAAATAAAACGTCAAAGCCAGATATTATACACAGAAACAGATTCTATTGGAGGTAAAAGGTAATTAGCGCTGGAAATGATATGAATGGAACACTGAAAATCTGTCATGACACCAGCTGTTCGCGATGTGTTTGTTGGTCGTCGTACAGGAGTAGCTGTATCGCATATCAAAGGTATCAGAGTCACGTTAGTATACATGCGGGGGAACTTTACCAGCAAAGTCTGGTGAGATAATGTTCATAGTGATTGCTTCCAAACAGTAAGCGGTTTATGGTCGATGGTGATGAGTAACGTGAGAGAATGCTTTTAAGCGTCACAGTTAACACTATCACTGCGGTTTGTAAATAATCGTTTCTGGCCGAGACACATCAATGATTCATAGCATGAGCAGAGATACATTGGGAGTATATATATATATACATATACACGAAGGTCACGCGATGCCTATGTAGAGCTTAAATAAAAGTGTGTCAGCTTTTTGTGGGAGGAAAAACCGGACTGATGCTGGCCGTAGACGTTTTACACCTTTGGGAAACCCACGAACACGGGTTTTGTGCTAACAAACCAAGACTCGTTATAGGGGCGGATCTATCAACATTGTCACGCATTCAAACATGTATTATAATTTAACTGTGTCATACCCGTTTGTACATCATATCGCTTCATATGATCCCGATAGGGATGAAGCAAGGGAATTGGAAGATGACATTTGTTTATCTTAAGCTCTGGTATGATGCTTACAAGACTGTATGACATGAAGGATGACTTCACTTTCCAATAGTAAGCTTTCCGTTCATATCGAGCAATATTCCAACCGCTCCAGCCTTTGGTGTTAACATTTCACAACTTTGGAGATACAATCGAGCACGCTCTTTCTACAATAATTTCAAAGAGCGTCATACGACTCTTGCTCAGAAGTTGTTTGATGAAGGTTCCAACATTCAAGATCTCAGTAAAGCTTTCAAAAGGTTTTATGGTAGACATGTGGAGGACATTACAAATTTGACGCATCAGTGACAAAAATAATGTCGGATGCTATTCCCGGTTTTGACTTGAACCATTATGTTCCCATTTGTTTTCAGGTGAACAATTGACTTGCCTTTGCATGTGTTTGTGACGAGTGCCACCGTGTGGGTCAGGATACGCTCACCTTTTCGCGAACACCTGGTATCATTACTGTTTGATAGTGATTCATAAACACATGCTCATATAATAGTCGGAATCGTACAATCGACTCTGCTTTATGCAGAGATTTCTATTGGATATGGAAAGGGTTGTTTCACTTTATTTGCAATTGTTTCTAGTAGACATTATATGAACAGCCAGTTGTCCTTTGTAGTGTAATTCTCTCCTTTCCCCACGGTAAATAACCCGAACCTTTCTCGAAGACCTTTATTTTCAACCTCAAATCACCAAGGTATTCCCATGAACCTATGTTAAACCTCTGTAAACCTGCAGAAACCATACGTGCAACGCTTGGGAACCTTCGTAGTCGGAGGTAAAAATTATACCTTTTGAAACGATTTACAAGAAGATACCTTGGTTTGTATAAAGGGATCTAAATATAATTCACAAACGCTTCAAAAAAGGGTACAGTAGTTTTCAAAATATTTAGCAATTTAGTGAATTGTTTTTTACGCCGTGGTGACAATATAGACAGCGGTGGTACATATATGTAACTGAACCTGGACTAGGTTAATTGGGACATGAAAACAGTCAGGCAACCAGCAAGTCTCAGAGCGTGACCTTACGATCCCTTTTTGACTACTTTTATGACAATCATACCAGGTTACTGGAAAGTAATTCTGCCCCGGATGACCACTGCGGTTCCAAATTATTGAAAACTTTTGTAAGCATAGCTGAGCAAGCTCGTTGTAAATAGACAACACTGCGAGAAGTACCTGTGGCGTATGTGGCAGTGCAGTCGTGTGTGGTGACGGAGAGCAGCTCAAAGTCGGGCATGTTGGCGTTGGGGAGAACATTGAGGGACTGGCGTCCCGAGGACCACTGCATCTGTATGTCATCAGTTGTAAATGCATCTGAAAGAAACACGAGTACTTGAAATGAATATACACGAATTGTCACCCAAATTTGCATCCAAAGAGTGAGGTATACCATGGCGTATCAGCTTACATATAATGTCTGAGGAAAGCCCGAAGTGATGCAAGTCTCAGGCGTTTACCACTTTGTTATTTTTATTCATCATCTTTGAGTATGCGTAAGAAAGAGAATTTGTCTGACAAAGTTGGCATTGCACTCCTGACTACGCCATCCATGAACGTATCAGTGAGTGAGTATGGTTTTACGCCGGTTTTAGCAATATTTCAGCTATATCGCGTCGGGGGACACCAGAAATGGGCTTCACAATTTACCCATGTGGGGAATCGAACCTGGGTCTTCGACGTGACGAGCAAACGCGTTAACCACAAGGCTACCTAACCGCCGCTATGCACGTAACAACATATTTAGGTCACTAGATAAGGTATAACTATTTTACAAGAAAGTACCCAAAAAATATCCTCAGCGGGTCTATATCTTCACGGTACTGATACCAGGAACACCACATGCATCCATTCTTCATACATGCACATACTACATTCATGTGACATTTGGTATTATGCATTTTTGTAAGTCTATGAGAATAATTACACGACTATATATAATATTCTTACAACTTTCCATCCTGATTTCACAAGTTTGTTCATCCATTGGAAACTTCCTTAGATTCATCACACAGTGAAATTCCACAGAAATCCTGGAACAGATTATTAAAAAAGGTCAAACCGAGGGTATGGCGTTAATCATTTACTGGGCAGACATGTGTATACATTAATGTGTCTTTCAAGGTCATATGATGAGAGACGCATATGTGCATGGCCGTAACATAAACTATTAATGTACAGTGTGTATTCATACGATGTAAGCCGTGGTGATTCCGGGTTGGAATATGCAGGAGGTAAGAGACGACCAAATGGATCGGGAGGTCAGGCCCATTGACTTGGTTGATGCATGTCATCATGCAATGAAGGCGTGGATCGTTGCTAAAAAAGCAATCACTTGATTGTCTGGTCCAGACTGGGTTATTTACAGACCGTCGTCATACAGCTGGAATACTGGAGTGTGGCGTTAAGCAACAAACAAATAATTATGAAATAACTACTATAATTATGCTGTACATGGCCAGCAACACCTTGCAGGATAATAACCCGCCAACGCTTCATTGTGATAACAAGCTGACACAAATTACAGAATATATATCTATACTGCGTGCGTAATTGGATTCAATTTGTTACTATCGATACTAAACCAATGAAGACACAAATACAGTCCGAGACAAAAGTATCAACCTATCCGGATTCCTGCTAATTCAACTTTGGATTCTTACATTCTCTTTACAAATAAAAGTGACACAACCCTTTCCATATCCATTAGAAATCTCTGCAATTACAGAGTCGATTGTACAATTCCGACCATATCATGAGCATGTGTGTATGAATCACTATGAAAAAGGGATACCAGGTGTTCGCGTAAAGGTGAGCGTATCCTGCTCCACCGGTGGCACTCGTCACAAACGTATGCAAATACACGTCGATTGTTCACCTGAAGAAAACGGGAACATATAGTACAAATCGAAATAGGGAATTGCATCGGACATCATTTTTGTCACTGATGCGTCCAATTTTGAAATGTCCTCCACATGTTTTTAAAAGCTTTACTGAGACCTTGAATGCTGCAACCTTGATCAAACAACTTCTGAGCAAGAGTTGTAACCACGTGTGACTTAGTGCAAAGGTATTCAGCCATGAAGTGAAATACAAACAGAACGAATTAATAGTTTCTTTGGTGTTTTTTGGTTTCTAACCACACAATGCAATTTTCCAGCTATATGAGAGAGGCCTGTAAATAACTGCATCTTATAATGGGACATACAGTAAACTACGGTTATAACGAACTCAAGAGTCCACTAATTTTATTTGGTTATAAAACGGTAGTTCGGTATAAGCATATGTACAGCATAGATACAGCAGTGGCGTGGACATAAAAATAAGTTCGTTATATCCGTCAGTTCGTTAAAAGCGTGTTCGTTATAAACGTAGTTCACTGTACTTATGTTGTAGAGTAAGGGCAAATGAGCATGATATGGCACGCATGGAAGTATATACTAGGTATATACTACGACCAAGTTTTGAATATTTTGGGAGGTTTCAACCCCACAAACAAAATGCAGCTATAAAAACCTATATTCGCAGGAGAAACCCGTAGAATTGGTCTCTTGCTCCAGAAAGACACTGTCGATGGAATAAAACGCCGTTGAATGAACGTTAATGCTGTGTTCATTTGTGTGATAGTTTTGACATTGGAGTTGAATTCCACTATATCGTCATATGTAAATTCTTCAATGAACAAAATTAAGGGACATGTACATCCCAAAACTCTTTTAGAAAAGACCAAATATGTTACAACTCCAGCAATTATTTAAATGCCAGAAGATCTCTGTCCAACAGAAACTATGTACATTTGTTAACATTATAATGAAAATAGTAAAACTCCCGGTTAACCTCTGTCCGCCGCAATGTAAAAATACTATTTGTTCCTTCATGCCGATGCCTGAGAGAAAAAGAGTGCTGCACATGTTCTGTTCTGATAACGACATCTTCATCAGAGGACACACATTACACTTGGTCCGATATCTGATTAATCCGACATTCCGTGTAAACAACCAAATAGGTTCTTTGAAAACGCAAATTCGATTTTTTTGTGGTATTTGGCAAAATGGCCACAAATATCAACTGAAATTGTTCTGGGTATTTAGGCATGAGATAATCCAACACAGTAATGTCATCGGATGGGTTCGAATCTCATGTGATGTGTTTGGAGATGGACACATCTTTTCTGATTTGGAGTTAAATTGTATTTTGCGCGTCCATTGTATTTGTGTAATGGAAAATCCAATTTCACCAAATCCGTTTCATCTCGTGTAGGTTTCAACAGAGCTCTACAAAGTCCTGCCCTACAAACACCACTCTAACATGATTTTAACATGAACCAAAATGTGGCTATGGACATTTTTTCAACTAAAATATAGTTAATGTCTGAAAGTACCTCTGACTGTAAAACACCCTTCCTTCAGGGGACAGGCGTAGTAATACGTTTGGTGTGGTAATGTCATGGCGCAGCTCTGTCTCTGACTGGGGAAAGAATATGTCCGGCACCCATATCATTGACAGCTTCTTGTAGCTTAGCACGATGCTGGTGTTTAATTCGTTGTACTTGAGGCGGGAGTCTAACCACTCCTGCCGGAGGTAGAAGCTGGCGCCGAATTTCTGGAAGTGAGTTAGTGATATTTGACATACCGCCTATTATTATGTAAGTGTCAAGTCACAGTGGAAATGGACAAGTGAAAATCCTGGTTAGAATAGGTCTTCAGCAATAGTTCTTCATGCTTAACGTAAGAGGCGACTATATATGTTTGTCTTAAGAGGCGACTAACCGGATCGGGTGGTCAGGTTCTCTGACTTGTTTAATGCATGTCATCGTATCCCAATTTCGTGGATCGATGCTCATGATGTCAATTAATGGATTGTTTGGTCCACACTCGATTATTTACAGACCGCTGTCATATAGCTGGAATATTGCTGGATGCGGCGTTAAACAACAAAAAAGACAGTTGAAACACCATCACGTTTTGCCCAAATTGGGATCGTGAGTGAGTGGGTGTTTCAGTTATATCACGGCGTGTCAGCTTCATCCGGGGGATGCCCGAAAAGGATGCAGACGTTTACTGTGACAATCACCAGCACGGGTATGATGCTGGACAATAAAGTATCACCATGGAGGCGAATTTTGTATTCAGAACCTGAGATTCCGATTCAGCTGAGCGTGAAACACAAGGAGGTGTGGCTTTGTAAACCAGTCGTTCATCCAAGCCTCCTTGTTGGGAATCGAACTGGGAACAAGTTTTCAAAAAGGCTAGGTCAAAGTGACTCTCCCTGTCTCAGTCACCTTATAGCACTTACGATAGAAGCATTAATAAACTACTATGACATGATATTACTTGAATGCATATCATATGTTAGTTGATCCCAAGAAAAGGTCATGATCAATCTGATGTATTACATACACACTCTAACATGCATGCCACTTTTACTGAGGCCCATTTATTGCATAACACAACAATCATTTGTTTGCACATTTATGCAGACAGGAGACGGTTTAATCTCAGGAGTATGAATTGAATTGACTATTTACAACAGCACTCACCATGTCTCTGTCATTAACAGGGCCTAGCGCATTAAGAGCAATATCTATGGACACCATTGTAGCTGATGCTGGAAAGAAATAGAAAATTAACCTTTTTGTATGAGGCGTTGTTATGTTCCAATTATGAAATATAAATGCACGTATGGCTGTTTTACTTTAAAAACACTAGGCATGATGAAGTAAATCCTGGATATCGATCACCATTACACAACTAGGAACACCTTTCATCCCTTTCAATGCTCTGAAGTGTGAATAAACTCTCCAGTGAAACAGTAAATTGATCAGGTAAATTACAATATCGCTGAGAGGAAGAGCTATTTTTCAAAGCTTCGAGAGAACATGGGATAAACGCCACATGACAAAGTCTATATGGAAATGTGGATTGTTTGGGGTCTGGTTGGATCATTGCACTTTTTTGCACTGCATTGCTTTTCGGAAGAGTCCTGGTGCCATATGTAAAAATATTGTAATCTCCTCTTTAAGAGATAAAAAGCCAGGACATTTTATTCCTACGCAGTACTTTCTGTTTTCTACATGGGTCTCTTGTGGTAGAGCATCCGCCCGGAGAGCGGAAGGTCCGGGGTTTGATTCCCGGCAGCGTCATAGCAAAAGACGTTAAAAGATTGTACTTGTTGCTACCCTGTCTGGCGCTCGGCATTAAGGGGCTAAAACAAGGACTGGTCAGTATTTTGGGTCTGAGTGGGGTATGCATGATAAACTGCGGCATGGTATCTCAGTGGGCTAGCACTATAAATCGGCATACGTCCGGACTAGAACACCTATCCCCTGCGAAGCACTTTTTATCTCCTACGTGGGACTTTCTATCTCTTACATGGGACTTTCTGTCTCCTGTGAAGCACCTTTTATCTCCTACGTGGTACTCTTTATCTCCTATTTGATACTTTCTATCTCCTACGTGGGACTTTCGATCTCCTACGTATGACTTTTTTTCTCCTACTCGGGACTTTCTATCTCCTACGTGGGACTTTCTATCTCCTACATAGGACTTTCTATCGCCCGTGAAGCACTCTTTATCTCCTACGTGGTACTCTCTATCTCCTACTTGATACTTTCTTTCTCCTGGGACTTTCTTTCTCCTACGTGGGACGTTTTATCCCCTGCGTGGGACTTTCTATCTCCTACGTGGGACTTTCTATCTCCTACGTGGGATTTTCTATCTCCTTCGTGGGACGTTTTATCTCCTGCGTGGGACTTTCTATCTCCTACGTGGGATTTTCTATCTCCTACGTGGGATTTTCTATCTCCTTCGTGGGACGTTTTATCTCCTGCGTGGGACTTTCTATCTCCTACGTGGTACTTTCTATCGCCTACGTGGTACTTTCTATCGCCTACGTGGTACTTTCTATCTCCTACGTGGGATTTTCTATCTGCTTCGTGGGATTTTCTATCTGCTTCGTGGGACGTTTTATCCCCTGCGTGGGACCTTTAATTAACTGTGGGGGGGGGGGGGGGGGGGGGGGGGGGTTATTTGGGGGATTGTGGGGGGGGCGGTGTGAGTGTGTGGGGGAGGGGGTGGGGGGGTAGGTGTTGTAAATATCAGATGCACATTCATACAAAGATATTTCTCTCCATCATCCTGACTTACTGGTACTTTCTATCGCCCACGTGGTACTTTCTATCGCCTACGTGGTACTTTCTATCTCCTACGTGGGACTTTCTATCGCCTACGTGGTACTTTCTATCTCCTACGTGGGACTTTTTATGTCCGTGGGATTTTCTATCTGCTTCGTGGGACGTTTTATCCCCTGCGTGGTACCTTTAATTAACTGGGGGGGGGGGGTTATTTGGGGGATTGTGTGGGGGGCGGTGTGAGTGTGTGGGGGTGGGGGTGGGGGAGTAGGTGTTGTAAATATCAGATGCACATTCATACAAAGATATTTCTCTCCATCATCCTGACTTACTGGTACTTTCTATCGCCCACGTGGTACTTTCTATCTCCTACGTGGGACTTTTTATGTCCGTGGGATTTTCTATCTGCTTCGTGGGACGTTTTATCCCCTGCGTGGTACCTTTAATTAACTGGGGGGGGGGGGGGGGGGGGGCGTTATTTGGGGGATTGTGTGGGGGGCGGTGTGAGTGTGTGGGGGTGGGGGTGGGGGAGTAGGTGTTGTAAATATCAGATGCACATTCATACAAAGATATTTCTCTCCATCATCCTGACTTACTGCTGGGCCGAATGCTGGAGTCATACTTCCCTCCTTCCAAGAGATTGTCGATCAGCAGTTTCACGGAGGCTTCCACAGTATCATTGTCACATTTTCTGGAAAAGCAAAACGGAGTGAATGAGTTTCACATTCTAAATGTCATTGTGTATTCGTAGCTTTCGGCCATTGGAGCGGTGCCAATTTACACTTGTCAGAGGGATACACAAAGTACGTGATCTAGACTAGCTGTTGGACTTTCATTTTTGTGGAAGCCTCGGTGGCTGAGTGGGTTAGATCGCTAAATTTGTGAGAGTGGGTTCGAATCCCGGATAGAATTGAATTACAAAATTGTTTTGTTGCAAAATCTCTACACTACACACCATCATCATGGAAAGGGGTGTACGCTAACTTACCTAGTTACATACAGGAAGGAACGTTATTATATCATCAGTGAAGAAAATCAAGCAATGGAGAAAGAAACCCAAACCAATTTGCTGCAGTATTCCAATACATCCGGTGAGGGCAATGAACCGTTTATACATACATAATACACTTTCGACATAGCAGTATCGAGAAGACTAAAATACATCTGGATCGTTAAAACTGAAAATGTTCCCGTCTGGACAAAAATACCAGGGCGTCTGCTTACAGAACTGATAGGGGCACTTTTGACGATGGCAATTTCAATTATTGTAAACATTTTATATCTGATAATACGAATAAATAACCCTTTATTCTTGTGTACATATGTTCAAGCACAATACAGGCACAGTGATAACCCAGTTCCTCCCTATGTCAAACGAAAGAAGTGGTACATGTACAAAATGCAACATAATGTTATTCTGTGTATTACTTCAATTTACATCCGGGTACAGAGTAGATCTTCAGCAACCCATGCTTGCAGTAAAAGGCGACTATGCTTGTCTAAAGAGGCGACTAACGGGTTCGAGTGGTCAGGCTCGCTGACTTGGTTGATGCATGTCACCGTATCCCAATTGCGTGGATCGATGCTCATGATGTCAATCACTGAATTGTCTGGTCGAGACTCGATTATTTACAGACTGTTGTTATATAGTGCAGCGTTAAACAACAACAAAAATAGTGAAAAAAACAAAGATGTATATTAATCAATATGCTAGTAATGATTACATTCAGGATGTATCCAGAAAACCGGCGTATTTTTAGGTGTAACCATTATAATTATCTGGGTTGTTTACGCCGACAATAAACTAAACAATATTTGTCGTAAGAAATAACATGAATTATTACTGTATTATTTCTTTGCAGAATGCACGTCTTATCTTTATCACGTTGTTGATAATCAACTGAATGTTCTGTACGTTGAACAAGGCGTAACTGTCTATTGTCCTGGCATATAGATCGAGAGAATTAACCATTGTTGCTGTTAATTAGTATTCGGTCGGTACTTAGCGTGACAGATCATTACAAAACATTTTGAAAACCAACCAAATATTCTTTCATGAAATATGGAGGATACAATCGATAAATACATGAATTATGAAGGCGTCATGCGATCAGCATTGAAATGGAATTAAAGGTTGCAATCAATAGTTAAAGGCTTGGCGGTAATTGAGGTCTCCACACATGAATATGTGATTGTACATTGGGTATGAGGAATATTTACATTGGGGGTGGAAGAACAGAGTTAACTAAGGTACCGTGCAAATAAATGCGACAAAAACCATTTCCATATTCATATGAAATCTCTGCTAAAAGCAGATTGAATTGCACGATTCCGACCATATCATGAGCATGTGTTTAACTAATCACTCAGTCTATTCAATTGTGATGATACTGCGTGTTCGGGAAAACGTGAGCTTAGCCTGCCACACCTTTAGCACCCGTCATATATACATGCAAAGGCAAGTCAATTGTTCACCTAAAAAAAACACGGGAAAACATTGTACAAGTCAAAATAAGGAATATCATAGGGACATCATTTTTATCACAGACTCGTTAAATTGGGAGATGTTTTCCTCAGTCTTCTATAAAACGCTTTGAAAACTTTCCTGAGGCTTTCAAGGCTGTAACCTTGATCAAACAACTGTTGAGTCATATGACAAAAAGTGATTTGTAATTTCATTTCAAATAAAACAATGACAGTGTAAATACACATGGCAGTAAACTTGCCCCAGGTGATTATATTTTTAAGTAACTGGTCTAGCGTAAACAAAGTAGCCATCAGATGTGGATTAGCTACATGCCTTGTAACAAGGGCCTGCTCTGTGTTGTCAGCCTGGGACAGAAACATCACTGTTCGAACATTTGAACCCAAACTCACGGACACCTACACTGTGAATAAAACCTAGTGAATACAACTAACGTAATCGGTACAGCGGCCAGAAGGTTAGTAAACAGCGAAATTACACAGCCAAAAAGTTTACGTTCCGTTTTCCGAATCTGGATTAGTGATTGACATTATTAGTATCGCAATAGCACACACACACACACACACACACACACACACACACACACACACACACACACACACACACACGCACACGCGCACGCGCACGCACACACACACACGCACGCACGCACGAACACACACACACACATTCACGAACACACACATACATGCACGAACACACACACACCACCCCAACACCCACACCTACACCCCTAGCCCCTCACACACACACACCCCTGACTCACACCCCACAACCCACAACCTACCCAACCCCCCCGAATTTTGACAATCTTTTGGGAAGGTTTCCGGAAGGTATCCCGGCCGGATTCAAAGTGGAAAGGCAACATGCACCGGAAAACGGAAACATACACTTTGTTTGCTGTGTTACTGTCCTGCTTGATGGATTGCACGGAAATGCTGAAGATGAGACAATATCACTTATAAAATTTATATAATTCAATTCGTCTGTACTTCACACATTGTAAAAAGCGTGTAAAGATTCTAAAAACATACAAGACATGTTCACGAATGTGTTTCAATCCTAACGGTATGCACTTTTGGTGTGCTCTATCCACATATGTTTAGCGTCTAAACAGCACCTGAACACAACATCCCCATTATCTAAACATGTTTATAAATTACACACCTTTGAAAATGTTAACTTTATAATTTAAACACCTTTGAACATGTTTATAATTTACACACCTTTGAAAATGTTTATAATTTACACACCTTTGAACATGCATATGTTTATAATTTACACACCTTTGAAAATGTTTATAATTTACACACCTTTGAAAATGTTTATAATTTACACACCTTTGAACATGTTTATAATTTAAACACTTTTGAACATGTTTATAATTTACACACCTTTGAAAATGTTTATAATTTACACACCTTTGAACATGTTTATAATTTAAACACTTTTGAACATGTTTTTAATTTAAACACCTTTGAACATGCTTAGAATTTAACCATGTTTAATATAGGGCATATCGTCAGGCTATTCGGCATAACACATGTACTACCAGGACTTACAACGAACTAATATTAACATAAACATGTACAAATAAACCAAGCTGATGGTAACGAGGAACATTGACGACAACAGTCTCCTAGTACAGAAGGTAGTGCGACGGACTACAAATAAACGGATTGCGAATTGCGAAAATAATACTTTTTTACTCATTCCGAGGTAGGGTCACTTTAAATTAAAGTCAATGAATACAAGAAACCGTTGTGTTCGAGCTCTTTCAGTGTAAATATGCTGCCTGTCCAGAGCAAATAAATAAAGTGACAAAACCCTTAAGATTCAATATCCAATAGAAATCTCTGCCTATCACGAGCATGTGTTTATGAATTACTATCAAATAGTAGGTATACCAGATGTTCGCGAAAAGGTGAGCGTATCCTGCCCCACCAGTGGCACCCGTCAATTGTTCACCTGAAAAAACATGGGAACATATGGTCCAAGCCAAAATGGAAACGCGGAATGAACGGTTTTTAATTAAACCCTGCCCACCACACGAAGAGACAGTTTTGTCAGATTTGCACATGCTAGGAAATGAACGGGTAATTCCATGTCCACAAGACCAACGCTTAATACACGTGCCATTTGGCAGCCAGTCTGGGTAGAAGAGCTGTTAAGCGTACACGTATGGGTATTACAAATGCAATATGATCGGACCATGTTGTCCATTGTTGACACATACTGGTCGTCTATCCGACCCTGTAATTCCCCTGAAGGAGGTTGCCTAGCAACGTGCTGAATACATGATCCCATAATACACCCTAAAGTCTTCAATGTATCATTGATTTTCTTATCAATCCACGACTGACATAAAAACATAATCATATGTATATTCCACTTCAAGAGACGGTTCCATATTTACTGGTAAAGTATCATGTTGTCACGAGATCTTTTTGGATTACAAACGTGTGCATTAAAATAAATGGGTTTGTCCTTTAAACAGTACACATCTGGTCAATATTAGATAAAGCTATTTCAATCGTTTTTGCAGATGAATATATTGAGCTTTGATCTCTATCATACAAGAATGAACACACCGAAACACAACGATGCGTTTAGTCAGGACTTTAAGTCATGCGCAAACAAACAGATGGTTGCTGTTGTCAAAAACATAGGAGGTCCTTATGAATACCGATGAAGCCGAGTGTTTGCATAACAGATGACATGATGGGATATTCGATCGCTTCGCATGTACTGTCTTTTGAGTTTATCATACTCAGGCTATTCCTCATTATAGCAGTTCACCAGTACGTCCCACTGCCACAGTTCTTTGCTGTATACGTTGACTACGATTACATCTGTTATTGCGTAGAAAAGAAACATTCCAATTATTTTTAAAGAAAATATCAATTTTCAAAAAAAAATATTGATTTGCGTTAGCTTTCAATGAACGTCCTTGGACGCACCTTATTGTCATAGGTGATTAAGTGCTCAGGCATTTAAAAAAAGCTATGCTAATGATAAAGAGATCGAATTGCGGAAAAAAGTATTTGTTTAAATAGACGTATTTGATGTAAGTCGACTAATTACATGTGCATTTGCTTCATGGAAATTAACTGGTCGGAAAATGTGATAATTGTCTTCGTGCAATCAAACGAGTCTATTTTACAGGGATGTTAATTTTATTGTTGATAATGAAAAGGTAGACAATG